TCCTCATCTGGGCAGTACAGTTCCTTCTGCGTGTGCTTACGAAGTCAAGTCCTTAAGGTAATTTTTTCATTAATATGCAACAGATACTCGCGTTCATCATTTAGGTTTAGAGATAGGGTTAGGATTAAAGGTAGTGCTAGGATTAGACTTGGCCTAAATAAAAACATATAAACTAGTTATGACTGTTGGAATAATAGTGATATAGTGTTGTAATTTCTATAATACCTTATGTAGCCTCACAGAAAGTACTACAGTATGAATAAACTACTCAGACTGCATAAATATTGATGTAAAGTCAGTATTTTTACTAATAGTAACCGTTTTTTATAACAGTGGGACATTCTGTCCACTGTCGAACAATGTTTATTCAAATGAAATAAATGCAGATCTCTGTTAAAATGTACAAAATTAGACACAATGCACTGCCTTTAACACTATGGTATTGTATAAGTTAAATTGCAATTAAGTATGTTTTACTTATTAAAAAATTGCCATATTTTGTCTAAAAGATTAACAAGAATAATTTATTTATTTATTGGAAAACAAATTCTCCATTAGGTGTTTTTGTGTTCATGGGGCTATCCATTGTGCCTCCAAACATGCTTTAAAGGTATTAAAGGTCTGATTGGAGCCATACAGCTTTGAAAAAATAAGTGAACTGAAATTGCCAGATGTATTTAATTCTAGTAAGGTTTCATTTAAACTGTCACATGGATTCTGCAACTTCTGCAACATGGTAAGAGCTGTAAATGAATTATTTAATTTCTAAACCGTTGGTCCGGTTTTGTAAAGGGAAGTCAGACACAGCTAAAAAATACTCAGCGTTTCTCCTACCTGCAGTGAAAGTTGTTGTTGCTGTTGCAGCGAGACAGGAGGTTTCTGAAGAGGAGCAGTCTTTCTCCTCCTCACGACACGGCTGGGAATCAAACTGGGAACAGTAGAAACACCTAAGAGGGGAAACTACCGACAGGAGCAAAATAGAATTAGAAGCGAGGGGAAAAAAAGCCTCTTGCTCCAGTGAGCTGCGATTAGGAGCTATGTAAAATCAAGCTAAAGATTTTCTGCACGTTTCACTTGTAAACTGTTTAATCAATAAATAAAAGCCATTCTCATTCATCAATAAATAAGCCAAAACAAAGGACTTGAAATCATTAGTTCGATCATGGGGTTCAATAAATGAGCTCCCAGCGTCGCTGAGGAGTCTCACCTGGCTGCAACAGTCCGCAGAAAAGAACGGCTTTCACCAACAGGCTCATTGTCATGATGATCTGTGTAAATATTGCACGGGCTGCAACTTTCAATTAATATAAAGCAAGGGGAAAAAACATGAAGTTTCATCTTAACCCGATTTCAAAAGAATCTGAGCCCGTGCGTAATCTTCGCGGACGGTAACTGTTTCTCAACGTTTTGATGGCTTAATCAATGCGGAAAGCTAAACCAGGATTTCTTACACTGTGAGATAAAAAACAGACTTCCCTTCGTGGCTGTAGGAAGGGAGGAATAAATAATTTTATGTTCCAGTCACGAGTTCAAAACCGTGATGCCGCTTGCTTTATTAATTCGGCAGAAATTCCGCCAGATCCGCGATATCAGCAGTAGTACAGTACCACACTTCCATTCCGAACCTTTCCCTGATGATCTTGTCTGGACAAGTTGAGTTAGAGTTAGGAAAAACACAATGATTTGGTTGTACATTCTTAAATTAAGAGAATTTGATGTATGATTTAATCGTTGAAAAATTACAGCTTGTTTTAGAGGAGTGGCTCTTGTTAGACTTCATACTTAATAAATCCCAAATACATAATTGTTCTTCCTCCTATGGGAATCGAACACCATTCTCACTAAATCTGTTTCATTTCAAACAAATATTTCCTTCCCGAGTGAAACCACATCTGTGCTTTAAACGCTTAAATTCGGACAGTGTAACGTCTAGTTTGATCTCAGTTTGAAAGTGTTGTTTGAGGTTGTTTTTTTGTTAAGGCTTAATAGGACATCGGTCTCAAAAAATCAATGTATGACAGTTTCGTTGTAGTCGTTTAAAAAGGGCGTCATTTAAACTTCCATAGCTTAAAGAAAACTTAAGACGGCCTGTTAGCTCTGGTATTTTTTGTATATACTGCGTACAGTACGAATACTGAAACGTTTTCAAAGATAAGATTTTTTTGGAACAGTCTGATTTTAAAGACAGCTTTCTGGTAGTTATTGTTTAGCTTTTAACATATCTGTACATCTTACAAATGAGAAAGACGGGGATCTACGTTTATTATCCCTTAATTGTGTAAAACGTCTGCTTCTTGTGAAACATAAAATATATTTCCTAAATCCAGTCACAGTGTTGACTGACGGAATGTGTTTTTAGCGCACTTACGAAATTGGTTTTTGAAAGTGGCAACTTATTTCTTCAGATTTTTTTAAACGGTTTTTAGTTTTCTAATTAGATTCGGATTCAATTTTTCCGGGGTTGTGAACAAAGTCAGTGTACAAGTTCGCATGTTGCGTTTGGTTTAATGACTCAACTCGATTTTCAGTTTGAGAGTTTTCTTTTTTCGCAGCTGGATCAGAACATTTATTTTTTATTGTCTGACGTTTTTTTAGTACCTCGGTTCTAAACATTTTATGTCAGTATCAGTTCCAACTATTGAGTTAATAGTTAGTTTCAACTATTGAGTTAATAGTTAATTAATGAAACCAATAATTGACAGGTGTTGGGGCTATACACACCTGAAGGACTTGGGCTTCTCTAGCGTAAGGGGTGGACACTACTGCTGTAAAGACTGGACTATTCATTGTAGAGAAGCAGGAGGTGGAAACAAATCTGGTCTAGATTCTTATGTGATACAGTCCTGCTACCTAAAAAACAATGAGCAGTGATCTAGAAAGTTAATATTAATCCTTACACTTATATAACACTTTTCAGGACTCCTTACACTTATATAACACTACAAACTCAAGCTCAAGTTTATTGTCATTTGTACCCGAGTACATTAAAATGCTTACTTGAGTGTTTTCCTCACATGAAAATGACATAACAGATGACATCATTGTTCTTGGAGACAGGAACATGGTAGTAGCTATAATAATAACCTGCTTTTAGAGTTTTTTTCAGTGCTGTGCAAAATTCATGCAATGGAAGTATTTTGAGTTCAGTGCCAAAACATAGGGGTGTATCGGGAGTTTTTAAGAGGTGAAGTTTAGGAGTCCTCTGGCTGTGGGGTAGAGGCTTTCTTGAAACCTAGAGGTCTGGGCTTTTACACTCCTAAATCATCTGTCATAAGGAAGAAGAGAGAAGAGTTCATTCTCATTCTCAGGTGAACTTCACTCAAAAATACTATACAGATAATGGGGATCCCCTCCACCACCAGCAGCTTGCAGCCCCACCTGGATGATGCTCCAGTCTTCTCTCCACACACCGGCTCTCAGTGGGGAGGAGAACAGAGTGATGAAGCCAGTTCAGAGATGGGGATTAGGAGGCCATGATTGGAAAAGGCCAATGGGAACTTTGGTCAGGATGCAGGGTTAATAACAGAGATTGACTTGATTAACTTATCCTAATTAGGCATCTGATGAGTCCATCATGGGTTAGAAATCCAGTTCTGGGGGACCAGCATGTTTCTGGTTTTCCTTCCACCTGTGCACTTAATCACTTAATCGAAATCACCAATTGCTTAATTAGATAACAAAGTTTTTCCCTTGCTCTTAAAAAACTGGAGATTTAAAGAGAGCTGCTGAACAGCAGCCCTTGATAACTGAAGACAGGCTCCCTGGTCCTATTTCATTCTTGTTTTCCAAATCTAATTTTCATTTTCAAACTCTAAAATATTCTAAAATTAGATTATAAAAACACAGGTGATGTGTATTAAACATAGAGGTGTTTCCAGATCTTTGCAATACTGTGAGTACAAATTTCAAGTTACCTTTCAAATGGCAGCATTCAAAAAGTTTGTTTCACTTTTATGCTTGTTTTGAATCTGAAAACAATTTGAACCTTGAAAATTAAACAGGTTATTCCTCTAGTTCAATCAATTTTTAAAAAAATATCTCCTTTGACATTTAAATCAAAAGTACACAGCTACCACACCACTAGGTGATTGGGTGTCTACATAAAATATTTAAGAAGTGTGCTGATAGGTTTAATGATTGTGTAAGTTGTTACTTAAACAATCTGTACAATTTGGTGTGGCTGTGGTTCTCCAGATTAGACAAAAGAGATAATTTAAAATAAATGCATTAATGTTATCCATGATAGAAGTATAACCTCTGAACCACAAAAAGAGCATCATTGCGTTGTCGAAAGAAGGTCAGATTGTTAATTTTGCATTGTCAAATGCTTTTGAGTACAGTTATAGTGTGCCTGCAGCTTGAAACAGCACCGCTAGAGTTTGCCACCTCTCTCGTAGTTTGGTTATTCCAGATAGCTGAGGGTTGACACCAGTTGTGTCAGTGTCGATGTGAAGACAGGAGTGGCCTGGACACACAGAGATTGACAAGACTTTGACTTGTGGTAGACATACTGTAAGAAAAACAGTAACAGGTTTTACCTGGTTGTTGTTTTTAAAATGAAAGTCCATTCTCATTTGGCTTATTTTGTTGTATAAAATAATTAGTTTACAATAAGCAAAACAAAGCTACAGTAAAATATGCTACCACATCAAAGTTATCTATGGTCTATGGCCTGTATGAATGGCAGCGAGGTGCGGCTTCACATAGAGGCACTGCCAAGGCTATAGTATGGGAATGCAAAAGGCAAACATTAATAAAATTGAGAAATAATGCAAATGTTCCTGATATTGTTTTTATCCTACAATGATAACAAAGTTCATAGAGATAATTCAGCATCATCACCCACCTACCCACCTGAACTATTCAGCATCATCTTCCATTAAGCAAACAATTTTTGCTCCTCATGCGTGTCTTGATTCAGATGCCCGGTGCCAGGCCTGCTCTGGGTGAAACGGTCTGTTTGTTCTTGGGTCAACTGGCAGCCTTAACCAGACACCAGCGGTGCCCAGTCCTGGTGCTGGTGCCCCACACAGCTGGTGGGTTTCATCCCAGATCATTGACAGCTTAACTGACCTGAGAAGCTGCTTCATTGGAATATCTGCATTTCATTTCTAGTCACAATTTTATTTCACTTACAAAATGCAACAGTTAAAGCTCCAACTTGTGTAAGAGCTGGGAGCTCTAACTAACAGCACTAACTAACAAAATCAAGTAGGTAGACCTGTCTGTCTGGGACCATTACTAGATAGTACTTAATAAATCCTGCCCAAAGCGTGGAAGATGCTTCTCCAGCCATACTGAAATGGGATGCTGCTGCCATCTCCTGTTCGGTTGTGGCTTTACAACAAGAATTTGATCACGTTGGAGGGAAAAGTCTGTAACACCCGGCAGTTATTCAGATGAGCAGACGCCCTGCAACTGGTTTATTTAACTGAGTGCTTTAGGAATTAGGTTCTGTAACACAGTGGTGATAAGAGCAAGGACGATTACACAACAGAGGGTCAAAGGTAAATGAAGCTGTGAGTGAGATTACAGATTTGGTCAATTTAAAGATAAAAATTAAGTAATTACAGTATTCCCAGCACATCCCAACCCAGGCGATTTGGATGAGCTCCAGGAAGGTCAAAGTCACTTTGTTACCTTTGAGATAAGAGGTTGCTGAGGAAAAAAAATCTGGAGAGGCAAACAGGAAAGATTGCGGAAAGCAGAAGGTGCGTTTCTGAAGTTGTGGTCATTGGAGGAGCCTGGCGGCCAGGAGGCCGAGTGGCAGCATTGGTCCGAGGAGCCCGTGAGGCCCAGCGCTGTTGCAGAGGTTCCCCTTGCAGCAGTACGACCTCACCGACACGGTTCTGTTCAGCGACTTCGCTCCCACTTTCTCACACACATTCCTGGAGGCGCATCCTTTTGCAGTCAAAGTCGTCTGTCCATCAGTAACTTAGAGCAAACCAGACAAAAAAGAAATCTGTTAATTAATTAATTTTCTTTAACAAGGCTATCAAAGACAGAGTCAACCAACAGTCTTAGCGATCCTTTATGCCTCTCAAAGTCACTGTGTGGTCCTGCATGACTCAGATGCCAAATGTCATGGTTGTACAGTACCTCCAGTTGGGGCTTCTACTAGATGGGCCCAGTGAAAGATATTTTAGGCAAATCAGTGGTTCCCAGCCTGGTCCATGTCTTCTGGTTTTTGCTCCAAATTTGTCCTTAATCACAATCTCATTGATTATCTGTTTGGCCTATATTTGTGAATTTGCTTTCAGTTCTTAAAAGGTCAGATGGGATTCTAACTGGTATCAACACAGTACTGATTTCTGAGTTTCAGTACTGCCCTCGTTCAGGTGTACTGCCTGGACTGTAACCAACTGGATCTCTGCAGTAGGGAAATTCCTCCCATCACTGTATGTGCCTTATACAGCATCACTCCTATTGTATTTTGTGTCTGATACTGTGTTGCATTCACCCTATGTCTGTACATCAATTGATCATAAATAATCAATGATCATTTAATGATAAGTGAATATGAATTGATCAACTCACAGAGCTGTTCAGTCATAAATATCAGGAGGCAGATTGATGAGACTGAAGTATTTGAAAACTAGCCCTGAAATCAGGTATTCTTGGTATTAAAGAATGATGGGAGAAACAAGAAAATTAGAAGTGTAAGTAAGAAGACGCATAAATATAACTATTGATTGGCACTGGGGGGTGTAGATCTGAGCTGAAATGAAAAATAGCAGACAATGCTCCTCCAAGATCAGGGTTAGCAAATAGTTAGCTAGAGGAGTGACAACAATGTGAGAGTTCTCTATTACTCACAGACATCCTTGAAGCAGCGGTCTTCATTATCCAGGCACTGCACTTTGTCATAATTGGAGCATTGCAGATCCAGGCCGGAGCACATCACACACTCCAGTCTGTTGGCCTTCCCCTCATCCACCACTGGAATCAGACAGAACAGCCGGTTGCTCAGTGCATGAGAGAGATGGGGACAAAAGACATTTATAATTGCTTTAATAGTTTTGCGTGATGCAGCATACCATGATTTGCTTCTCCAAGTGGGCCTTTAAAGTCTGCATTTATGGCACAAACACCTTGTGGTGTTCACAAAATTGCCATACCGCTTTTTATGGTTTTCTCTGAAGGATTTTACCAGGTCAAGCTTTCATGCAGTCAAGCAAACCATAACTTTTACTGCTCTAATTGAATAAACGATTACCATGACATAACCCAATTGCTGGGAAAAAAAGACAGACATTGAAAACTCTAATGTTATTCTTTTTCTACAACAGGGTTTCCTTAAAGAGCTGCTCAAACTGCATTTCAGTAGTTCTGTCAAATTGTAATTTGGTGCGTTTGCAATGTTTTAGGGTTTTGGTATTAACCTGGAACATCAAAGTTATTGCACAGGTCTGTAGTACAGCATGAGGTATTTGAAATTCTTCGGACAGAGCCTTGGTTCACAGACAGGACTTCTCCACAGTCCTGCCTTGTAGAGCAAGCTCTGGCCTTCACAATTTTCTTCGTATTCCCTGGGGAAAAAAAGAAAAGAATAGAAAATCAGAACCATCGGACCATAACTGTCCAAGTCCTTGTTCAGACACTTTATCTTTCTTAGAGAACTTGATACCTAATCAGTAAAAGTGATACTATAACAATAATTAATTTTGTTTTATAATGTGTTTTTCAGCACAAGGTAGAACCACCAAGATGGGACACACTTTCACCACACAAGAGTCCAGCTGGAGTCCAACTCAGATAGCCCAGGTGGGGAAGCAAAGAATACTTCACCAACTGAACTGAGGGGTCACACCCAACAGACTGGACTGCAGATGCTTAAAGGCTTCACAGGTAGAAATAATAACAGATCCTGATATGAAGCCTAGTGGGGCAATCGCCTCATGAGCGAGTGACTGAATGTGAACAAGCTCGAAACCTGCGTGCTGTAAGTCACTTTTTGAGCTTAAGATGTTTTGGTATGGAATACACCTGTGTATGGGACAGCTTTCACCTACAAACATGATTCTATAGAAGCAATGCAACCGAACAACTTTCTTAAAAACTGTTGCATTCCCTATTCTTGTTTGGATTGCTAGCAATGTATTTCGAGCATTGCAGTACTACTTTAGAGACACTCAAATCCATCTAATAGCTAAGATTTTATTTTTTTCTTCTTGCAGATGATGAACAGCACGGAGTGAGATTCTGCAGTGTCAAAGGTTAAATTTACAGTGGAAAATAAGTAAACGGCACAGATTTACTTAATGCTTTCAGTCAAGCCATGATGCTGCTGGGGCAGAACATCTAGGGTTCAATTGCTGTTCCTGCTCACAATGGGCAGCAGTGGACTCCTTGTGTCACTCCACTGCCTTCCTGCCCAGTGACCAGTGATGCTCCAGGGCAAGTCACCGTCTTCTGTAATATAGAACAGTGCAACTGCTCTTACCGCTCTTTTCTACAAGCGTTGATGAGGCACACACGGTCTCTGATGATGAGCACAATTGTTGCTGGGAACTGCAGATCTCATTACCCGTGGCTGCACATCTGTAGCACTTCAGAGTCGAGGCTGTCAGAGAATTGAAGAAGACATAGAGCCCAAAAGTCAATGATGGGTTATTTGTCAGCAGCACTAAGTTTTGGACTGTGAAGCAAAAGTGGGCAGGTGAAGATGACTTTCTTTTCCTTTGGTTGACGCTTTTCCAATGA